ACCATCCTTAATTCCTGAGAGCTTTAATTAAGATTAGTGCATATATACATCTATTTATTGTCAACTATCTGAGTTATTGCTCATCTAAGTACAGAGCTCTCACGATGGATGGATGGAAATGATATCAATATAGAAAATTTCACACAACTACAAAATATATAAAGAAATTATATTGGCAACTATTAAATAATGTTATATTATTTATTTTTAATGATTTAATTAAAAAATCTTAAATAGAACCATAAATCTTTATCTTACCAAACAATTATAATAATACGTATTTTATGAATTTGTAATGGTAATATAAACTTAAAACCCTAAAATGTCGATAGTATCAATTAGAATTTTTAGCTGATCGATTAAAAATTTCTGACCGATTAGTATCATAATTTAATAGAGCATAGGATCGATCAACAATTGTTGAAAAAAATTTGCATGAAAATTTTTTGTTACAGAGGCAATTTATTAGTCTAACTTTTGAGATAAATGCGATTTTGCAAAGCAAACATTTTTTTTTACGTTACTCTTGATCCTGATTTCAATTAGCTAACTGATGTCAAAAATCACGTAAACGAAAAATCGATCTTATGCCCTGGTATCGTCGTTATTATTTATTATTATGACCAGCTACTGACCGATCATAACCAAAACTGACCCATCCCTAATTCAGGATAATTCCATATCTTATGTGATAAAATAAGGCATAATTTATTTGTTATTATCGTAATTGTGGTTACTGTACTATACCATGTATAATTTCGAGATCTGTCAAAATTAATGGTCTTCTAGCTTCAATGCACATCTAAAAATAGCACATAAAATTTGATATAGATCATAATGCAGAGTCTAAAGACTTTTTAGAAACTTACATACCATAATACGATTTAGTATGCCATAGTGATAATCTCCATCGAAATCATCAAGAAATTGACTTCCATATATTATAACCAGATTCAGATCCCAAGTATTGATTTGATCAGATTTAGGTTTTTTTTCTGAAAATTCTTTACCACAGCCTCAATTTATATGTTAAAATATTAACTATAGAATCACTTTTGCTAATAATCATTAAATGGCAGGCATTTTTATCCTCTAGATTCGCTTTTATAGTTCTTCAACGGAAAATTTCTTGAAATGATTAATACGGCCATGGAATTTTGTTATTACATCATTGAAATGAACCTG